TAAACCCTAAACCCTAAACCCTAAACCCTAAACCCTAAACCCTAAACCCTAAACCCTAAACCCTAAACCCTAAACCCTAAACCCTAAACCCTAAACCCTAAACCCTAAACCCTAAACCCTAAACCCTAAACCCTAAACCCTAAACCCTAAACCCTAAACCCTAAACCCTAAACCCTAAACCCTAAACCCTAAACCCTAAACCCTAAACCCTAAACCCTGCAACCCTGAACCTTGCAACCCTGAACCTTGCAACCCTGAACCATAACCCTACACCCTCCTCCCTAAACCTCTTCCACCCCAAACCCTACACCCCTAAGCCCTAAACCGTGCAACCCTAACCCTCCACTCCTCCACCCTCTTCCACCCCAAAGCCTGCTTTGCAAAACCACGCGAGGCCGGCAAGTTCCCCACCCTCGTGCAGCACTCCGACAACTTGGAGACGAAGGCCTCTCTGCTTCCTGGGGGTTTAGGGTTTAGGGTCCAGGGTTTAGGGCTTAGGGTCTCGGATTTTGGTGGGTTTGAGTGGGATTTTCGTGGTGGGTTTTCGTGCTTTTTAGTGGGGTTTAGGGTTTGCAGTGTTTTTTTGGAGGTGCAAGGGTTTAGAGGGCAGGGGTTTAGGGGCTTTATAGGTTGAGGGGTTGAGGGTTCAGGAAGCTATTATGTACGATTTTTTATGGTACTACTGTTGTAAACTGTGCTCCTCTCTTTGTTTCGATGTGAAAGCAGCGAGTAGTAGTGCGAATGATGCTATGACTACTATTCGAACCCTGCTGCGACTGCCCTTGCCAAGTCTTGCCATTCTTCATGTTTTGCTGCTGCTGTTAGCTACTTGCTCCCCTCCGGCGTTGGGAGGCTTTAGGGTCCTAAGTTCAGTTGACTCATTCGCTTTGCGCCTCCTTGGGGGTCACTGATCCTCAAACACTAAACCCTAAACCCTGCACCCTTCTGCCCGGCAGGTCACGGAGGTGAGAAGCCAGGTGAAGTTCCAGCTCAAGAAGGCAAGGCTTAGCGGCTTGCGGGCTGAGGGGCTTAGAGGTGAGGGTTCAGGTACGAGGACTAATCTCCCCTGCCGCTTAATTGCGGAACCCCGGGTTCTGAATGTTTTTGGGCACAGATTCGTACCTGCCCTGATCGTGCCTGCCTTAATCCTCAAGAAGACCGTAAGCCGCCTTATTGTGCTTGGATACTTGGGGAGGGTTGCTCAGCAGGTGGTTTAATTAGGGTTTGGGGTCCGGGCATGCCCTGAAAAGGAAGCTCAATAAGCTGTTGCGTGTTTAAGGTGCAGGTTTCGGCTGGAATCCTAAATCCCAAGCCCTGAGTCCTAAATCCTATATCTGGATCATAAATGCTAAATCTTAAGTCGGAAATCTTAAAAACCAAGTCCTAAACCCTTATCCCAGCTCCTGGATCCTAAACCAGAAATCCTGAATTCTAAGCCCGAAACCCAAATCCTAAGAAAATGGGACGCTGTGGGAGTGCACTTTTTTCACAATCCTAGATCCCCTAAATCCTAAATTGGAAGCCCTAAATCCAAATCCGAAGTCCTATAACCTTACATGGTAAGTCTTGAATCCTTACCTAAATCTTATATCCCAAACCCTGAACCCTAGATCCTCAATCCTAAACCCTAAATCCTCGATCCTGACGCCTAACCCTGCATCCTAAACCTTAAAAAACCCCACACCCTGAATTTCGAGTCCTCCAGAGCAAAGGGTGCAGGGCTTGGGGCTAACCTTTAGAGCTTAAAAACCCTAAACCCTAAACCCTAATAAAGGTGCCCAAAACCTTTTTGGGCCCCGACGCCCCTAAAGCCGTAGGTCTTGTGCATGGGCGTCGCTGTCGGCAACGTGTCCATGACCCCTGATGAGCTGAGGTCCCTACTGGGTTTGGGGGGGTTAGGGGTCTTAGGATTTTAGGATTTTAGGGTCTTTAGGGTCCTTAGGGTCCTTAGGGTCTTTAGGGCCTCTAGGGTCTTTAGGGTTCTTTGGTTTTTGGGTATTTTAGGCTTCTGGGAGGTGCTTTCGGAATGAGGGCTTTTGGGCTTCGAGGTGCCTTTGGAGCTCCAGGTGCCCAGTCCAAACCCCTGCAAGGGGGGTCGAGGATCGCAGGTCCAATAGAGGGCCAAAAAAAGGGTTTAGGGTTTAGGGTTTAGGGTTTAGGGTTTAGGGTTTAGGGTTTAGGGTTTAGGGTTTTGGGTTTAAGGTTTAGGGTTTAGGGAGGCCCCCAAGGGTTCCTAAGCCCAGTAGGCGCTGAATCCATTTTTTGGGGCATTGTTGCAGGGTTGCGAGTTCAGATGGAGCATGAATTTGGGCTCCTCTTGGCAGGGCATGCGCCTTGTAACCTGCATATGGGTGATGGGTTTTGACTCAGCTATTTTGAGGGCTCTGGGGATTTGGATTTAGGGGTGACAGTTGTTTCGGAATTTTTTGCAGTAGAGGTGTTTCGGGTCCGGTGCTTCCCGGCTGGGCAGGCAGAACTGCCTGATGGCGATCAACTTCCTCGTCTCCCTGCTGAAGAAGAACTGGAACAATGTCAAGTTGGGGGCCCGGGGCTGTCTAGGCTTTGGGGTTCCGGGTTCAGGTCGAGGCTCAGAGGGGTCTAGGCTGAGTGTGTGTGTGGCTCTGGCCAAGATGCCACTAGTAAGCCATAAGCACCTGCGAGCGTGTAGACTAGAAGCTTGAAGTTTGTAGGGGTCCTATGCTTGAAGAGGCCTTGCACCTCCAGGACTAGATGTTCGAATGTCGTCGGATGGAACGGCATACCACTGGCGTCACCGTGAATGTAGACTTTAGTACATAGAAGATGCCTCATACTGGGAGAAAGGGGTCTGCCCTAACCCCTAAACCCTAAACCCTACACCCCAAACCCCAAACCCTAAACCCGTCTCCAGTTAGAATCGAAGCCGGGAGCACTGTTGCCATACATGCTATCTTGTAGAGAGTCCCAATAGACTGCTATGTAAGTTATGTAGGAGTAAGGGGGGTACCGCCTCAAGCCCCAAGTAAGACCCAAGCCGCAAGCTCGCTGGCAACCCTCTCAGACAGGACCGCGACAAAGGGCAGCAATACACCGGGCCATTCAGTGGAATGGGCTTGTGTGCTCGTGTAGATCATAGGGTATAGAGGCTGTATGGGGATAATGTTAGTAATGATCTAGGCTCCTGTATTCGGCATCAGTGATGCTACGTCTGGGTTCTGACCTCTTTGAGAACGAAGGGCGCGGGTTCCTTTCTGAACCTCTACCTGTGGGGTATTGGCCCCAAGATGCCAATCCTTATCATGGGAACGTCAACATATGTACCCCTAATGTTTGGACTCGCCCCTATCCGAAGCTTCCAGGCGACTGCACATCAAGAGCACCATGGGGACCGGGGCCACAGAGAGCTCGGGGTTTCGTCTGAGTTGATTCTCTGGGCTTAGGGCCTTTAGGGTTTAGGGTCTGATACGCATGGGCCTTATTTCGGGGCTTCCAGGGTTCTTGCCTTCGCCCCCTAAACGCCCCCGAGGTTTACAAGCGAACACAACAAGTGAGCGAAACGAATCCATTAAGATCTCCAGCTCATGGTGTTCATTGCCCACAGTCTGTATATGCGGATTTTGGAGGTGAAAGGCATGAATTCGTGTGTTAATGACTCGCGAGTTTAGGTGAATGAATATACTGAAAGGTGAATACTGTTTAGGTTTGTGGAAGTCAAATTGAATGTAGAGTTCACCGTCCTTTAGGAAGCCATATCAGGCTGATTATTCACTCATGATGGTCCAATTATAATGAGTGTAAAAGGTGAAGAGAGCGAATGAACTTTAGTCCTGACACCTCGGCCCTCGGGTTAAAGCCTAGTCCCTCCCCCCCCCCCTCCTCCCGCCCCCCTCCCCTCCCCCCCATCTTCCCACTTCTCCCTCTCCCCACCCTCCCCCGCTCCCCTCCCACTTCCCCACTCCCCCTCCCGCCAGCCCCTCCAGCCCCTCCAGCCCCTCCAGCCCCTCCAGCCCCTCCAGCCCCTCCAGCCCCTCCTTGGAGTTTAGAATTGGTGGGCTCTTGTTGGGATGTTTGAATAGTTCCCTTCCGTGGGCTTGTGAGGATGTTAAAGATATTCCAGCATAGGCCCACTCATTTTGGCTCAACCCCCTCATATCCCTAAGAGCCCCAAAGAAGGCCCCAAAGCATGGCAGGCCTATTTCCCTACTAAACCCGAAGCCCTAAACCCTACTAAACCCTACTAACCCCTACTAAACCCCACTAATAGCGGCCCTTCTGAGCTTGCTTTCGAACTTCTAAGCCTACTGGAACCCTAAACAAAAGCCAAAAAGCCGGCATCGGAAGGAAACCCTTCACCATCTACGGCTGAGCTCCCACCGGTTGTACAGACTTTGCCTCTGCGTGCTCTGCAGCAAAAGGAGAATCGACGGGCTGAAGGGGACTCAGGGTCCTGTTTAAACCCAAGACTCCGGCCCCAGCTTCCCCTCTAAACCCTAACCCCACCCCCGATTCGGGATCACGAATTGTCGCGTCTCGCCCTGAATACTGAGACTAACTGCCTCGTGGTACCTTGAACATTGCAGGACAGATGTGACTTCAGGAGGGACGCGCATCGACCCAATCAGGGAGATGTTGAGGGCCATGATTTTACCTGTCGGCCGAAGCCCGCATTGTTGGTGAACAGTCCTGCATGTTACAGTGGCTTTTCGCCAATGATGCCCACCTCTCAGCTGTGCAAGGCCTAAACCCCAAATGTGTCGGTATGTGCCAGTAGCCGGGTTCTTGTTTGGGGAACTTAGTTCTAGATTCCAAAGTACGGAAGGATGTCATGTTGTTTGCTCTATATCCTTGAGATGGTAGCTTGAACTCAGCCCCTTTGACAAGTTTCGGCTGTTGTGCGCAACCTGTAGGATTTGGGGTCTTAGGGAATGTGGTATATGGAACATCATGATCTTCATGGAGGGAATCCCATCATGTTAACAAACTTCCGAAATTTCATTGTGGGGGCTTCACGTTGACGGGATTTTGCGGTGTTGGATTCAAGTGCTCTTTCGCTGTTCGGGTCTAAGCTGGCAGAATGAGTCTGCGAATGCAGTTCAGCCATGCCAACTACTTTTTGCTCCGGCTTGAGCCTGGCAACCTGGGGCTGCGTCAGTTCATAGCAGAGGGATGAGAAGGCCAAGCCAGACAAGCGAGGCGTCCATTCGGAGCTGGGCGGTTCCAGGCGAGTGGCATGAAGGTGATGCAAGAGATGCCAGAGACGAGTGGCGGCATGAAGGTGATGCAAGAGAGGCTTCAAGCAGCAGCAGCTTCATGACGATCCCTGACCTTCACATGGCACCAAGTCTTGGAGGGACCAGCACATCCGACCACACCGTCATGCCCGACATGGATGATCTGGTGCCAAGTCTGGTAGAGCTAGTTGCCCGGATCCTGGGGCTTTGTTAAGTGTAGCTTTCGTTTACTCTTGTGCACAGGTGCGCAAAGCTAGTAAGAAACATGAGTGAGAGGTTTAAACTTTTGAACCACAGCGATTACGCAGGATGGATGTGATAAACCCGGAGGTCTTGAGGGTGACGCCGGTGTCTCGTGCTTTGGAGCGTTTTGCTGTAGCATTGCGTTTTGAATCTGACGAAGACTACTACCACAAGAGCCACAAAAGTACGAAGATATCGACATTTTGGAGTCACTCTTGGCACGGAGGGCCGTGGAAGAAAGTGCTCACACTTGTCACCATCTACAACGGCACTGCGGCAGTTTCCTTGGCTTTTCTCACAGGCGTGTTGATGATGGTGCTTTTCAGCTTTCGAACTCTGCCTGGAACTGACCGTGGATGGATTTTCGGCTCCTGGGAGTGGTCTTGTTGGTCAACTTCTTCAGGGTTCGTCGTTGCCAGTTTGGTCCTCACTTGTTGGCGATCGCAAAAGGGAGTCTTCCTAGACCGCATTTGTATCTGCCAGAACGACGAGGACCTGAAGACGGAGGCCATCCTAAGCTTGGCTGGGCTCTTGAAAAACTCCGACAGAATGCTGATTCTCTGGGACCCGACATGGACTGAGAGGCGGGGTAAACGGGGTGGAGACCAAGCCTGCCAAAATAGCAAAAGCAATGATTCATAGATCAGACCCCACCCATTCGTGGATGTGGAAGCTAAGCCAAAGCCACGGGATCGGCGCGTCAGATGTTTTGCCTTTGATAGGCTTTTTGTGGCTCTTGTTCTAATCCTTGGGGGAAAGTTTCTGTTTTCCCTCACGCCCGAGAGGTTGTGGTGCTTGTTTGAGCTTGCGGCCTTCCTGAAAAGCAAGACGACGCAAAAGCAGCACCTTGTTGTGAGACCCATCTTCTTCGGGCCTCTTTCCATCGCAATTTACCTTACTCTTTTTGCCCTGGCATTGCCGATCTCGACAGTACCTATCCACACCACGACAACGATGGTGGAGCTGCTGGGCGCCATGGTGTTGTCGTGTTTGGCAGTTGCCTTCCCGACTGTCAGCACTCTTCGAAGCTATTTCCGAGACCTGGACACCATGAAGCTGCAGTTGTTGTCGATCTCTGTTGACTCTGCAAGGAGTTCATGCTGCGATGTCAACCACGTAACCCCTTCAGGCGGACGTATTCCGTGTGACCGAAAGATGCCTGGCGCTTGTTGAGTGCCATTCTACATCTTTCCATGTCTTGAACGTTTGTTCCCAGTACGAAGCACGATTAATCTCCTTATTGTTGATCCTGACAGCTACCCAGGGTCGTGAAAGAGTGCGTGAAGATTTGGTTTGGCAGCGAGCTATCTTTTGAGAACACGGTGCGCACCGAGGTTTTGGACCTTTTGAACTGTGACCTCACCGAGAAGGTGTTCAGTATTCCATGGGCTTTTGGAGTAACTTCTCCTCTATTTCTGGGTTTCATGGACGTCTCTGCTAGCATGGCTACAGCTCCAGACCATCACCAGCGAGACCAGCCTGCTCTTGCTCTTCTGCTCGAAGGTCTGGTAACTTGGTTGTGCTTCGTCCCAGTTACCAAGGATCTCCTGATACTGCTGGTCAGGGTTGGTCGGAAGAGACCGAGAAGCACTTGTCTTGAGATTCTCAAGAACACTGTGGTGTTGGGAGCTGTGGCTAGCCCTGTCTTTGTAATGCTCGCAACTTATGGCCTCACTCGGTTTGCCGCTGTTGATGCACTGCAGCGCGCAGGAATTTTTGCGTGCTGCACGCTGCTTCTTGTAGTGTGCAACTTCCTCTTCGCCCTTGGCCTGAGGGCATTGTTACGGCGGCCTGGGTGGTAATTCCCATGCCCTCCGATCCCTCCAGTGGCCCCCCCAGATGCCAATTTTTTGGAGGATGCATCCGGGGATTAGGGTTTAGGGTTTTGGGTTTAGGGCTTAGGGTTTAGGGTTTCGTCGATTCCCGCTGCCTCTTTACCTCCCATCCTGACGTATCGGGGTGAGATGACCGCCATGCTGCTAACACCATTCGGAGCTGGGTGGCGGGTGAAGCTGTGCACAGGGTGTCTCCGCCCATAGTCATCCTGGCCAGCGGGACCCTTACAGGTAGTACATACCCTTTCTGGCTACCCTAAAAGGTTGCTTCATTGTACGGCCTCCGTTCAGTTAACCGCAGCTGTTGGGATTGTTTAGTTCACTGTACAGTGCAGCCATGCCACCTGGCGCTGATGCGCATGCAGGAGTGGAATCGCTTTCGGAGAGATGCCGGGTTAGTGGTAAAGTCTCACGTTTAGGGTCCAGGTTTTTCTGCACACGTTTGGGTGTAGGGCTCAGTGCTGGGCTACGGTTACGGGGTTTTTAGGCTTTAGGCACTGGGGGTACTTGTGTTGGGGTCGAGAGAGAGAGGGTTGTAGGGTATGGTTCGATGCGCATACATCAGACACGTGGGATAAGCTGTTCAGGGTTTTGAACGTTTGGGGGGTGGTTTAGGGGTGTAGGGGTCTAGGAATCTGAGGTTTAGGGCTTAGGACTTTAGAGGATTGGCCTTTGTCTTTGGGATGTTTGTCATTGACGGCCCTGTCTTGAGCCGCCATGCTGATTTTGGCAATGGCCCAAGACAGCTTCCGCCTCAATGGTTCGATTGAGATGATGAGACGAAACATGGCAAGTTCAAACCCTAAGCCCTGAAACCCTGAAGACCCCGAACATTGTATTCTTACACACTAGACATGCTCCGGCGAAGACTGCCTAACCGCTCCTGCCACACTGGCGTCGCGGACGCCTGATGCAAGACTCTGAACACACCCGCAAAATCCCTGAACCCTAATGACCCTACTCCCAAACCCTCAAGGCCCTAAAGGCCCTAAAGGCCCTAAGCCAGGGAGACCCCTTCAAGACTTGAAGCCCCCAAAGCCTCAGTCAAGACTTGCGTGTCGACTCCTCCCCCGCGCCGCGGAGCCGCGTGGCGAAAAATCCGCGGCGGAGGGCACCAATGGCCTCCGATGAGGCCTTACCCTGGTTGAAGGGCCACGTTGGAGTCGAAGAACCGCCTTAGGGTTTAAGATTAGGGTTTAGGATTTAGGGTTTAGGGTTTGGGATTTAGGGTTTAGGTTACCCCGAAAGATCCCGCAAGCCTGAGCCCTAAACCATGCTTGGGTTGAAGGGTTCTTATGGTCTGAGAGAAACCTGGGCTCAGCCACAGAGCCGGCAAAAGACGAGTTGGGTGTTAGGGTTTCTGGTTTGGGGTGCTTGTAGTATAGAGCAAGGGGGGACCTTGGGATTTGTTGTATGTTCGTGTGTTGGGGTCAAGAGGCACTTGTGTAGGGAGGGTGCGGCCCAAAGGCTTGCCAGACAGGCCCAGTATGCTCCAGACTTGACAAGCGCCTTAATCAGAAGCCCCCAAAGGCCTAAGCTTTGTTTGCAGCTTGGTTTTGCTGGACCGCTGCAGAACCGTTTTTGTGCGCACAAAAGCTCTAGTATATTTCTTTGTCTAAATTCGGGCCCCTTTCTGCATGTCTTAGTTTGCTGGGGGGGGGGGGGTCGTATTATACGTGGCAACAAGGACCTTAGTTTAGGAAACTGCGGAATAGAACCTCAAATGCTTGAAGCCCATAGCTCTCAAACCCTAGGCCCCTGTGTACCCCTTAACGCAAGTCCCTGAATCCCGGTTTAGGGTTTAGTTTAGGGTTTAGGGTTTAGGGTTTAGGGTTTAGGGTTTAGGGTTGAGGGTTGAGGGTTTAGGGTTTAGGGTTTACGGAGAGGCTGCGGGCAAGACGATGGCCAGTGGCGCCAAGCGGAAGGAGCACCTTGGCTGGGAGGGGTTTGGGGGGTTTGGGAGATGTTCCCCCCCTTATGCTAACAGTCGGTACTATAATCCCCCTTAAGGACTGTTAGTGTATTGGGGAAGATCCCAAGGTTGAAGGCCTATGGTAGTTTAGGTTCGGGTTTAGGATTTGGGGTCCAATTTGATTAGGGTGTAGGGCTTAAAACTCGGGCTTGGTGTTTAGGGTTGGGGGGTTGGGGCCCCTAAACCCTGAAACCCCCCCCCCCCCCCCAAAACCCTCAACCCCCCAAACCCTCCAACCCCAAAAGGTGCTGGGCCTCCCGGGATGCTTTCTTCGCCTGCCTCGACCAGGGCGATGGGCAGATGGGCCCAGAGGAGCGCGCTTGGGGTTGAGGGGCCTTGAGGGGTTAGGGTTTAGGGGTTAGGGGTCAGGCGTTAAGGCTGTTTTTGGCCTAGGCTTAGGGCCTTAGTTTTCTGGGAATCCTCGAAGCCGACGATATCGGCGGGAACACTCCCAGCTTTTGTATGGGGGGTTTCGGGCTTGTTCTAAACTATCGGAGTCCCTGAGAAGAGGACCCTCCCTGCCCAAAAAAAACGAAAAAGGAAGAGGCACCTCAATTAAGAGCCATGAAGTAAATATTTGGCCTGTTTTGGCACCCTAGATAAACTGCAAGGAACAACATAGTGTAGAAGCGCCACAAGGGGCCCACAATTGTTTAGATCCCCATGCAGGTGGACTCTTGGTTTTGGGGCCTTTTGCGGAGAGAATTCTTAGCTTTGATGTAGGCGAAGGTTCCGGGGAGCCCTCGTCCCAAAACCTCGCGTATGAACCCGAAAGGGTTTAGGGTTTTCAGCTTTGCTGTAGTTTTTTTGGGCTTTCCAAACTTCCAACCTTAAATGCTCAGACCAACACCCCTTGCTGCTTCAATTCTGACGAGGCGGAGAAGCGATGCGCGACCGAATGGGTCGAATTTCAGGCCGCCTTCTCCCCCTGAAGCCCCATTCTGCTTTCGTGGATTCAGGGTTTGGTGTTTGGCTGACTCAAGGTTGTTCTTGGGACGAGGGCCTTTGCAGTTCAGACTCTGGGGCTGTTGTTATGACGCGTTCTTCGAATTTAATCTGCTTCGTTTTTTTTTTTGGGGGGGGGGGGGGGGGGGGAGGAAGCTGGGGGACTGAAGAGTTGCAGGGCCCTTTTCGATCAGCAACCTGAGGCTTCGGAGATGGAGGGCTTTCAGAAAGGATAAAATGCCTCAGTGTTGCTGCTTGTCTTGGTGTGAGATTGGTGTATTCTTGCTGTATGGACACCGGTGACAAGCAACAATGCACAATCCTGCGAGCAGCATGGCGAGCGGGCCACTGGCTCTGTAGCGATTTCTGCTACATGTGCCGACCTGTATCTTAAACAACAAAAACGATTTGGTGCTCAGGCTTTGAGAGGCGACTTCTGTTTCGCTCTAGTGCGCTGAATTCGGGGGAGGTAGCTGGGGAAACTTAGGCAGCTGTAGACGCACATCCAGGACCCGCAATGACCCGAAGCCCTAAGAAAAGGGTTGAACAGGGCCCCTGTGAGTTCAGACACCTTGAGTCTGGTTCAAGAGGGAGAAACCCGAAACCCTAAACCCTAAACCCTAAACCCTAAACCCTAAACCCTAAACCCTAAACCCCAAACCCCAAACCCCAAACCCTAAACCCCAAACCCTAAACTCTAAACCCTGAGGGGGGTTCTGTGGGCATCCGAAGGCCCAAACCTAACCGAGTGGATAACGTCCAGGGCTCCGCGTTGAGGGCGGTCTGAAGCTGCCGACGCAGGTTTCAGGGATCTTCGGGATCTTAGGGATCTCAGGGATCTTCGGGATCTTAGGGCTCTTAGGGCTCTTAGGGATCTTAGGGATCTTAGGGATCTTAGGGATCTTAGGGATCTTGGGGTCTTGGGGGTTTAGGGTTGAGGGTTCAGGGATTAGGGTTTAGGGTTCAGGGGTCTTAGGTCCAGCACGGAAACTCCCCGCAACCTGCCTCGAATCTGCCGACCGCTCCCTGACAGAAGAAGTGCCTCCCCTCCTGGGTGAAGCACTTCGTCATGCAGAGGCCGATCTGACGTGGGGCTTGTGCGTTCACTTAGGGGTACTTGGCAATGATTTTTAATTCTTGGCCACTAAAATTTCTAAGAAACAGCAAAATGATTAGTTTTTGCTGGGGTTCCAAGTTCAGTGTAGTTCAGAGTTCAGGATTCAGGAGGGTTGCCCCACAGGCCTCAGGGTTTCGGGATTGGGCGTTTCAGGGGCGCGCGCCCCCAGGTCTAGAGGGTTTTGGTGGTCCAGTGGTTATGGGATTCAGGGTTGTGTGGCTTGATTTCAAGTTTGCTGGGTACAGCCGGGCCCCTGAACACTGAAAGCGCCCTCTAAACAAACTCAGCGCAAACCCAAATACACACCCTAAACTTTTCCTGAAGCCGCCCTTGAACCCTAACCCTGCCCCTGAAACCTCTCGCAGCCTCCCTAATTCCTAAACCCTAAACCCTAAACCCTAAACCCTAAACCCTAAACCCTAAACCCTAAACCCTAAACCCTAAACCCTAAACCCTAAACCCTAAACCCTAAACCCTAAACCCTAAACCCTAAACCCTAAACCCTAAACCCTAAACCCTAAACCCTAAACCCTAAACCCTAAACCCTAAACCCTAACCCTAAACCTAAACCCTAAAAACCCTAAAACCCTAACCTAACCCTAACCCTAAACCCTAAACCTAAACCCTAAACCCTAAACCCTAAACCTAAACCCTAAACCCTAAACCCTAAACCCTAAACCCTAAACCCTAACCCTAAACCCTAACCTAACCCTAAACCCTAACCTAAACCCTAACCCTAAACCCTAAACCCTAACCCTAACCCCCCCTAACCCTAAACCCTAAAACCCTAAACCCTAACCCTAAACCCTAAACCCTAAAACCCTAAAAACCCTAAACCCTAAACCCGAAACCCTAAACCCTAAACCCTAAACCCTAAACCCTAAACCCTAAACCCTAACACCTAAACTAAACCCTAAACCTAAAAACCCTAACCCCTAAACCCTAAACCCTAAACCCTAAACCCTAAACCCTAAACCCTAAACCCTAAACCCTAAAACCCTAAACCCTAAACCCTAAACCTAAACCATAAACCCCCTAAACCCTAAACCCTAAACCCTAAACCCTAAACCCTAAACCCTAAACCCTAAACCCTAACCTAAACCCTAACCCCTAACCCTAAACCCTAAACCCTAAACCCTAAACCCTAAACCCTAAACCCTAAACCCTAAACCCTAAACCCTAAACCCTAACCCTAAACCCTAAACCCTAAACCCTAAACCCTAAACCCTAAGCCCTAAGCCCTAAACCCTAAAAGCCTCAAGGAACCTTGGCCAACCTGGCGCAAGTTCCGGGTGAGTGAAGGGCCCGGCGCCTCGCAGCACACGAGCCGCTGAAAGCCTGCCACGTTCGGGTTTAGGGTTTAGGGGTTTAAGGTTTAGGGTTAAGGGTTTAGGGTTTAGGGGTGTAGGGTTTATAGAAATTGTATAGGGTTTGTGTCCGGAGTTTTGTCGGGTTTTGGGGGGTTTGGGCGCAGTTTTGGGAAAGGTTTTCGGGGGGTTTGCAGGCTCGTTATTTTTACCTTTTGGAGCCTTTTCTGGGTCGTTGAGAACGTTTTGGCTACTGCTTTTCCAGATAGACATTGTATAGGGCTTGTGTCCGGAGTTTGCCGGGATCTGTTTGTTGACTTGTTTTGCCGGGTTTTGGGGGGGGTTTTGTTTTTTGCTTTTGCTGCAATGGTTTGGGTTTTGTCGGGTTTTGGTTTTGGGGGGATTTTGCCGGGCTTGCTGAAATTGTTTTGGGGGGGGGGGGGGGGTTGGGGGTTTTGGGGGTTTTGGGGGTTTTGCGGGGGTTTTGTGCGTTTTTCGTGGCTTGCACTCGCAGGCGCGCGGAATCGTGCATTTTGGGTCGTTGGATGCGTTCGCGGCGTGCGGCCCGACTAAGGGGATTTGCAATTTAAATTTGCAGTGTTGGAAATCGCGCTCCCGATTTCTGACGTTTGGGTTCGTGAAATGCGAAACAGCCGTTGACTTTCGGGTGTCTGGGTTCGCCAAATGCGAAACTGTCATCGCTTTTGGGCATCGTTGCATGCCGGGATGTTGGACATCGCGCTCCCGCCTAGGCACCGCGCATCGACGTCGCCATCCTCGTAACGGTCCTCGCTTTCTTTTTGACGTCTGGGTTTTCGTGAAACAGTCGCTTATGGTGTTTTTTGGAGGACATCCGGAGCTCTGGCGGCTCGAACGTCGACTTATGCAGCACAAGCGTAGTACGCCGAGGACGCCTGGAACACCAGGGCCTCCAAGTCCGTCTTTCGTGGCCTGTCCCTGAAACAGCGGCAAGCTCACCTGTAAGGGCTTCTTGGGGGTCACGTGTTTTGGATCCCGGGGCCCTCGTTGACCCCAGCCGCACGATCTCATGCCTTGTCTTATCTGTGCACTCACAAAAGGCATCGAAGAAAATCAAGGAACACGTCCTCCCTCTTGGCTCAGCCTTTGGTGCCTACTGCGCTTTAGACATCCTCGCCGCAACCCGTCCGGTGTTCTCACGATGGCCACGACGTCTCAGACCGAGTTGGCGATGAAGACGGAGCCAACATCCCACAGTGGCTTAGCTCGACAGATTCAAGTGCCAGCCTTTGCGCATCGAGTCTAGAGTTCAGTTGAGGGTACTTGGGATGCGGAGCATGCTTCTGGTAGTTGGGAGGCTCGTTTATCTTAGTATTTCTCTGACAGTCTAGCCAAGTTTACTTAACTCTGGGAAACCCTAGACCTTAAACCCTAAGCTCGAAAAACCCGAAACTCTCAACCCCCTAAAGAGAAAGGCGAAGCTCCTGTGGTGAAGAAGGCCACCCGCTCGGCATCTTGGCTGGAGATTTTGGGCCTCAAGGGCAACTTCAGCCACTTGAACCTCAAGGACCCCTTCAATGTGAAGAAGCTCCTGGGGCCATTTTTTGGAGAGATTTCCGTGTTTAGTGGTATGAAGCTGATGAACATGAACAGCTCCTCTTCTACAGAGCCTATATTCCGGCCATCAGGTCACAGCCCGGATGCAAAAAAGTGGTACAGCAGCACACCCCTACGAAAGATGATTCATGTTATGCCATAGTACATTCTTAAGAAGGAACACATAAACCAGCCATCGGAAACTCTAGGACCCCAAGACCAAAGACCAAAGCAGGCTTGGTTCCAGCTACACCACCGAAATCCGGGCCGGCTTGACCACTTTCCTGGCCATGGCCTACATCCTCCCGGTGAACAGCGGCATGCTCAGCCTGGCGGTGCCCGACATGAAGGAACCTCCCCAGCTTCTCAGAAAACCATTTTTGTTTCCAATGCCCGCCTTCTTTTGGGTGTGGGTTTTTAAAGGGTGGGAAGTGAAGTCTTCTAGGGAAGGTTTTTGGGTTCTTACAAGGGTGGGAGTTCAGTATCATGCAAGAAGTCTAAGCTTTAGTTTCGTAGAGTGTTGGGCAAAACCAAGGAGCAGCTGGTGTGCGCTACAGCCCTGGCTTCCTTCTGCGGCTGCTGGCTGATGGGCATCCTGTCCAACTTCCCCTTTATGCTTGCGCCAGGCATGGGCACCAACGCCTACTTCACCTTCAGCATCGTCTTGGGTCGGGGCCTCCCTTGGCAAGCAGGCTTCGCGGCCGTCTTCATCGCCGGCGGCATGTTCACGTTCCTCAGCGTCACCGGCATGCGCACGCTGCTCATCCGGCTCTTCCCGCAACTAGGTGGCATGTAGGGATGAACCCCGAAATCCTAAACCCCAGAAACTGCCCTAAACCGCCTGAAGCACAAGCCTCATGAAGCCCTGAAGCTCCTTGAGCCCTACAACCATCTACAACCCACACTTGGAATCCTAAGCCTGTTTTCAAACCCGGAAATATCTACGTATACATATACATATTTACATATATACATATATACATATATACATATATACATATATACATATATACATATATACATATATACATATATACATATGTGAGAGGGACCTTTTGGGTCCATTTCACGTATATCACTTGTATGAGGAATTTAATTTATTTACCTATTAATTTCTTTAATTTCTTTAATTTCTGGGGCTCTCTTAGGGAAATAAATGAAATTAAAGAAATTAATTAATTTCTTTAATTTCTTTAATTTCTGGGCCTCTCTGTGCGAAATTAAAGAAATTAAAGAAATTAATTAATTTCATTAATTTCTTTAATTTCCGGGCCTCTCTGTGAGAAATTAAAGAAATTAAAGAAACTAAATAATTTCATTAATTTCTTTAATTTCTGGGCCTCTCTGTGCGAAATTAAAGAAATTAAAGAAATTAATTAATTTCTTTAATTTCATTAATTTCATTAATTTCTTTAATTTATTTTAATTAGTCCCGTGAGCCGGGGGGGGGGCCCCAATTAATTCCTTTTATTTCTTTAATTTCTGGGCCTCTCTGTGAGAAATTAAAGAAATTAAAGAAATTAATTCCGGTAGCCCTTCGGGCTTGCGAGACTAATTAAAAGAAATTAAAGAAATTAAAGAAATTAATGAAATTAATTAATTTCTTTAATTTCTTTAATTTCTGGGCCTCTCTGTGAGAAATTAAAGAAATTAAAGAAATTAATTAATTTCATTAATTTCTTTAATTTCCGGGCCTCTCTGTGAGAAATTAAAGAAATTAAAGAAATTAAATAATTTCATTAATTTCTTTAATTTCTGGGCCTCTCTGTGCGAAATTAAAGAAATTAAAGAAATTAATTTCTTTAATTTCATTAATTTCATTAATTTCTTTAATTTATTTTAATTAGTCCCGTGAGCCGGGGGGCCCCCCCCAATTAATTTCTTTAATTTCTTTAATTTCTGTGCCTCTCTGTGAGAAATTAAAGAAATTAAAGAAATTAATGAATTTCATTAATTTCTTTAATTTCTGGGCCTCTCTGTGAGAAATTAAAGAAATCAAAGAAATTAAAGAAATTCATTAATTTCATTAATTTCTTTAATTTCTGGGCCTCTCTGTGCGAAATTAAAGAAATTAAAGAAATTAATTAATTTGTTTAATTTCATTAATTTCATTAATTTCTTTAATTTATTTTAATTAGTCCCGTGAGCCGGGGGGGCTACCCCAATTAATTTCTTTAATTTCTGGGCCTCTCTGTGAGAAATTAAAGAAATTAAAGAAATTAATTCCGGTAGCCCTTCGGGCTTGCGAGACTAATTAAAAGAAATTAATGAAATTAAAGAAATTAAAGAAATTAATGAAATTAATGAAATTCTTTAATTTCTTTAATTTCTGGGCCTCTCTGTGAGAAAATAAAGAAATTAAAGAAATTAATTAATTTCATTAATTTCTTTAATTTCTGGGCCTCCCTGTGAGAAATTAAAGAAATTAAAGAAATTAATTAATTTCATTAATTTCTTTAATTTCTGGGCCTCTCTGTGCGAAATTAAAGAAATTAAAGAAATTAATTAATTTCTTTAATTTCATTAATTTCATTAATTTCTTTAATTTATTTTAATTAGTCCCGTGAGCCGGGGGGGCTACCCCAATTAATTTCTTTAATTTCTTTAATTTCTGGGCCTCTCTGTGAGAAATTAAAGAAATTAAAAAAGAAATTAATTCGGTAGCCCTTCGGGCTTGCGAGACTAATTAAAAGAAATTAAAGAAATTTAAAGAAATTAATGAAATTAATTAATTTCTTTAATTTCTTTAATTTCTGGGCCTCCCTATGAGAAATTAAAGAAATTAAAGAAATTAATTAATTTCATTAATTTCTTTAATTTCTGGGCCTCTCTGTGCGAAATTAAAGAAATTAAAGAAATTAATTAATTTCTTTAATTTCATTAATTTCATTAATTTCTTTAATTTATTTTAATTAGTCCCGTGAGCCGGGGGGGCTACCCCAATTAATTTCTTTAATTTCTTTAATTTCTGTGCCTCTCTGTGAGAAATTAAAGAAAGTAAAGAAATTAATTCCGGTAGCCCTTCGGGCTTGCGAGACTAATTAAAAGAAATTAAAGAAATTAAAGAAATTAATGAAATTAATTAATTTCTTTAATTTCTTTAATTTCTGGGCCTCTCTGTGAGAAATTAAAGAAATTAAAGAAATTAATTAATTTCATTAATTTCTTTAATTTCTGGGCCTCTCTGTGAGAAATTAAAGAAATTAAAGAAATTAATTAATTTCATTAATTTCTTTTATTTCTGGGCCTCTCTGTGCGAAATTAAAGAAATTAAAGAAATTAATTAATTTCTTTAATTTCATTAATTTCATTAATTTCTTTAATTTATTTTAAGTAGTCCCGTGAGCCGGGGGGGGGCCCCAATTAATTTCATTAATTTCTTTAATTTCTGGGCCTCTCTGTGCGAAATTAAAGAAATTAATGAAATTAATTAATTTCTTTAGTTTCATTAATTTCTTTAATTTATTTTAATTAGTCCCGTGAGCCGGGGGGGCTCCCCCAATTAATTTCTTTAATTTCTTTAATTTCTGGGCCTCTCTGTGAGAAATTAAAGAAATTAAAGAAATTAATTCCGGTAGCCCTTCGGGCTTGCGAGACTAATTAAAAGAAATTAATGAAATTAAAGAAATTAAAGAAATTAATGAAATTAATTAATTTCTTTAATTTCTTTAATTTCTGGGCCTCTCTGTGAGAAAATAAAGAAATTAAAGAAATTAATTAATTTCATTAATTTCTTTAATTTCTGGGCCTCCCTGTGAGAAATTAAAGAAATTAAAGAAATTAATTAATTTCATTAATTTCTTTAATTTCTGGGCCTCTCTGTGCGAAATTAAAGAAATTAAAGAAATTAATTTCTTTAATTTCATTAATTTCATTAATTTCTTTAATTTATTTTAATTAGTCCCGTGAGCCGGGGGGGCTACCCCAATTAATTTCTTTTATTTCTTTAATTTCTGGGCCTCTCTGTGAGAAATTAAAGAAATTAAAGAAATTAATTCAGGTAGCCCTTCGGGCTTGCGAGACTAATTAAAAGAAATTAAAGAAATTAAAGAAATTAATGAAATTAATTAATTTCTTTAATTTCTTTAATTTCTGGGCCTCCCTATGAGAAATTAAAGAAATTAAAGAAATTAATTAATTTCATTAATTTCTTTAATTTCTGGGCCTCTCTGTGCGAAATTAAAGAAATTAAAGAAATTAATTAATTTCTTTAATTTCATTAATTTCATTAATTTCTTTAATTTATTTTAATTAGTCCCGTGAGCCGGGGGGGCTACCCCAATTAATTTCTTTAATTTCTTTAATTTCTGTGCCTCTCTGTGAGAAATTAAAGAAATTAAAGAAATTAATTCCGGTAGCCCTTCGGGCTTGCGAGACTAATTAAAAGAAATTAAAGAAATTAATGAAGAAATTAATGAAATTAATTAATTTCTTTAATTTCTTTAATTTCTGGGCCTCTCTGTGAGAAATTAAAGAAATTAAAGAAATTAATTAATTTCATTAATTTCTTTAATTTCTGGGCCTCTCTGTGAGAAATTAAAGAAATTGAAGAAATTAAATAATTTCATTAATTTCTTTAATTTCTGGGCCTCTCTGTGCGAAATTAAAGAAATTAAAGAAATTAATTAATTTCTTTAGTTTCATTAATTTCATTAATTTCTTTAATTTATTTTAATTAGTCCCGTGAGCCGGGGGGGGGGGGCCCCCAATTAATTTCTTTAATTTCTTTAATTTCTGGGCCTCTCTGTGAGAAATTAAAGAAAGTAAAGAAATTAATTCCGGTAGCCCTTCGGGCTTGCGAGACTAATTAAAAGAAATTAATGAAATTAAAGAAATTAAAGAAATTAATGAAATTAATTAATTTCTTGAATTTCTTGAATTTCTGGGCCTCTCTGTGAGAAATTAAAGAAATTAAAGAAATTAATCAATTTCATTAATTTCTTTAATTTCTGGGCCTCTCTGTGCGAAATTAAAGAAAGTAAAGAAATTAGTTAATTTCTTTAATTTCATTAATTTCATTAATTTCTTTAATAAAATTTCCCTGATGTTTCCCTGTTGCGCTTTTTTTTGGCCCCGATTGTTTCAGGGAAGTTTTCCCTTGAAACCCCTGTGTAGTGCTAGAATTTCCCCTCGAATCCCTTTAAGGCTTCGTGTATCTGTACCGCGTTCCCTTTTCTATTCCCTTACTTTCGTGCTGAAACCATCGCCCTTTCTTTCCCTTAATTTCCCCAGTCATCCCTTAAAGAAAGGGACGCCTTCAAGATGTAGGAAGGATTTTTCATATAGTTGTGTGTACAATGGCTTGGTACTAGCGCTCTAATTTTCAAGAAGCTGTTTTGCAAGTAATGTGTGTCACGAGTTTGCTACGTTCATAGGCAGACGATGTAAATACACCCTCTCTAAACAAACCATTTCCCCTAAACCCTGAACCCTAAACTCTAAACCCTAAACCCTAAACGCTCAAAGACTCCTACGGCCTCCAGGCCCTCTAAGAATCCCAAGTTCTCTAAGACTCCCAAGCCCCCTACACTTCCTAAGGCCCCGAAGCTCCCCAGGCCCCCTGAGCCCGCCAAGCCTCCTTAAGTCCCGTAAGCTCCCTAAGCTGTCGAAGCCCCCTTACTCCCTAAACAATTTCGCAGAGCAAGCAGACAGCAAGTGAAGTTCATACAGTTCAAGTCCGTTTACTTCAGATCTATTGAATGCCAATGAAGTGTATAGAGTTGACCACAAGTGCATGGCATTCAACTCAACACACTTGAGTGCCATGCAGTTCGAGTGCATACACGTCCAGTATAC